CACCTCATCATGCAAGCGATCAATCTGAGAAGAATCTAATCTAAATACGAGAAAACATAGGGTTCCTTTCACACGCACGCATATAAACAATCCACACCTTATTCACACAAACATATATACACAACCTCTAAACCTGTTTCATCTTACATAGACCACACAGATCTCGCATGCCCATAAATAACGTCAGCCACATGATGTGTACATACAATCCTCATCCCCGTCATCGTTGCTTCACCCGCAGTGCCATTGTGTAAAATTATAATGAGGGATGAGGTTGTATAATGAGACCGGGGGGATGGTCACAGGTCGGTGAATTCTGAATGACGATATGAGGAAATAACGTACGCCTGGGAGGTCGCATTGCCGGGTGGTTTGGAGGCTCGGGTTTGCTGTGTTTTTAGATCGTCTGAGTGTCTGTCTGTTTGTCTGTCTCGTTCTTTTTTGTTTCTCTGGCTCTATCTGTTCTCTCTCTCTCTCTCTCTCTCTGGCTCTATCTGCTCTCTCTCTCTCTCTCTCTCTCTCTCTCTCTCTCTCTCTCTCTCTCTCTCTCTCTCTCTCTCTTCTTCTTCTTCTTCTTCTTCTTCTTCTTCTTCTTCTTCTTTTCCCCTCTCTCGCCGTCCCTCTCTTTCTCCTTCTCTTCCCACTTTCCCTCTCTTTCTCTCTCCCTCTAGGCCTCATTCTCTCCCTCTCTCCCTCTGCTCTCTCTCTCTTTCTCCGTCTCATTCTCTCCCTCCCCCCTCTCTCTTCCTTTCCTTCTATTCCTCTCCTTCCTTCTCCCTTCCTCTCTCCCTCTCCCTCCCTTTATCCCTCCCTCTACTTCTCTTCCCCCTTTCCCTCCCTCTCTCCCTCTCCCTCTCTCTATTTCCCTTCCCCCTTTCCCTCCCTCTCTCCTTCCCTCTCTTCTTCACTTCCCCCCCTTTCCCTCCCTCTCTCCCTCCCTCTCGCCTTCCTTTCCCCATTTCCCTCTCCTCTCCCTCTCCCCTCCCTCATCCTCTCCTTATCTTCCTCTCCTTCCCTCTCCCTTCCCCCACTCCCTCCCTCTCTCCCTCCCTCTCTCCTTCACTTCCACCTTTTCCCTCCCTCTTCCCCTCCTTATCTTCCTCTCCTTCCCTCTCCCTTCCTCTCTCCTTCCCTCTCTTCTTCACTTCCCCCCCTTTCCCTCTCTTTCTCTCTCCCTCTGTCCCTCCCTCTCTCCTTCACTTCTCCCCTTTCCCTCCCTCTCTCTCTCCCTCTCTCCCTTCCTCTCTCCTTCACTTCCCCCCCTTTTCCCTCTCTTTCTCTCTCCCTCTCCCTGTTTAATTGCACTTTTCGCGCCCGTTGGAGAAAGTATGCGGATCCCATTCAACTTGTATTGCACGCTTTTCCCTCGACCTTCGCATCCATCCGGTGTGAGCGCGTGACTTTCTCTCTTCAGACGGCCGTAACGCGAATGAAAGGGAAAGAAAGAAACAAATAGAAATGGAAATGAGAAGAAAAAAAATGTTGAATGAGAATCGAAAGAGAGAGAGAGAGAGAAAGATTGAAAGATTTGTTTTTGGGGGGTTAGGAAAAAAAACGAACGAATCAATGGTAGTTCGTTCCCTCTTCCCCCCTCCTCCCCCCGCGTTTGTATGTCTATTGTCATTTACTCTCTCTTTCTCTCTCTCTCTCTCTCTCTCTCTCTCTCTCTCTCTCTCTCTCTCTCTCTCTCTCTCTCTCTCTCTCTCTCTCTCTCTCTTTCTTTCTCTCTCTCTCTCTCTCTCTCTTCCTTATCTCTTAACCTCTCCCTCCTTCCTTCCCTACATCCTTCCATCCATCCCTTTCCCTCCCTCCCCCTCCGTCCTTCCATCCATCCATCTATCCCTTCCCCTCCCCTCCCCTCCCTCCCTCCCTCCCCTCTCTTTCCCTCCCATCCCTCCCCTCTCCTTCCCTCCCTCCATCCATCCCCTCCCATCCCCTCTCTCTCCTTCCTTCCTTCCCTCCCTCCATCCATCCCCTCCTTTCCCCAATCTCTCCTTCCTTCCCTCCCTCCCTACCTCCCTCCCTCCCTCCTTCCCTCCCTCCCCTCTCTTTCCTTCCCTCCCTCCTTTCCTCCCTCCGTCCACCCCATCCCTTCCCCTCTCTCTCCTTCCTTCCTTCCTTCCTTCCTTCTTTCCTTCCCCCCTCCCCTCCCCTCCCCTCCCCTCCATCCTTCCCTCCCTCCCCTCTCTCTCCTTCCTTCCCTCTCTACCTCCCTCCCTCCCTCCCTCCCTCCCTCCCATCCCTCTCATCCCTCCCCTCTCCTTCCCTACCTCCCTCCCTCCCTATCTCCCTCCTTCCTTCCCCCTCCCTCCCTCTCTCCTTCCCTCTCTCCCCTCCCCCTCCCTCCAGCTTCCCTCCCTCCCTCCCTCCCTCCCGCTACCGCTTAAGTGAGAGTTTTATGACAATAAAAGATTTACAAAGGTTTCCTCCGCCCGTTTGAATAACAACCCTGACCTGGCGTTTTGAAGGCGTGGTTGTTGGTGCGGTTGGATAAAATGTC